AAAAAAAAGAAAGAAAGAGAAAAGAGGCCGGAACGCTGAGTCCCTGAGTCCCTGAGGCCAGGGGCCTAGGGGTCCTTCGCTGTGAAACTTGGCAAAACACGGTATTTTTGCTGGCAAACTACGGGTACCTGATAAAGCTGCAACGAAACCTTTATTTTTGCAAAAGGAAACTTCGAACGGACGACATTTTTGCTGCCAAACTTCGAAACAGCAATATTTTTGAAATTAACCATCTTGTCTTTGTTATTTTGTTTTGAGGGTGAGGGAGTGCAGAGAGGGGGGTACTGGGTGCGGGAAGGGAGGCGAAGGGCGGCCAAGGGTGGGGGAAATGAAAAACGGTCAGGAATGACCAGCCTAACCTGTACCAACTGAAAATAATCAGAAAAGGCATCCCTTTTAACTTTACAAAGCTTAACCTAAAAGGGATGGGATGGGAGGGGGAGGCAGAAGCGGAGGGGACGGGGGAGGGGGAGTGAGAGGAGGTTCAGAGTGGGGGGCTGGGGGGGAGAGGGGGGGGAAACGGGGAGGAGGAGGACATCAATCAAATAAAGTCGCAAGATTCGACAAGAGTAGACACTCGGCTGGTGTACTTACCCATCAGAATTCCTGATAGCCGCAGTGCAAGGGGTGTCACCGGTTCCAAAATCTGTGAGCTGTACGCAATATGCAGACGTTACAATTACCAAATCTGTGACCAGATCGAAAGTTCTGTGTTTTTTTTTTTTTTTTTTTTTAATATCCTTTCTATTACAGCTGGAGAGCAGATTGAAAGTTCTTTAAACTCTGACCAAAAAAAAAAAAAAAGCAAAAAAGTTAAAAACTCTTAGTCTCTCACTGTCACGGGGTGACAGAGGCAGCCTTGACTGAAATTTAAACCACGGTGACCCCGAACAGATGCAAATGTCAGTAATGACCGAAGGTCGGGGATGCATGGATGGGTGGGTGTGCACTGTATGGCATATGCCACATTTCCAAGCATAGACAATAACACGTCAAAGCTTTTAAAGTTTAAACTCTACACTACGCTATTCTGCTATAGACAATGGTCTGTTGCCATCCCTGTTGCTTTTTTTCCTTTTTCGATTTTCCTAATCAAGATATTAAGGAGTAAAAGCTGATTGTCTACCACCTTTTTTAGTTTCACAATGAGCATGTACAGGTAGATGATGCAAGACTTGAAGTTCAGCAACATCAACACATCAACATTTCCGATATTCCATCTTGTAAATTCTTGCTAAATGGCAGCAAACCTGCCTTTCCATCTTCTGTGTCTGAGCATTGAAAGTGAATGGATGTTCAATGCATGTGCGTATGTCTCATGATGTCTGAGTCGTCAGAGTTGGTCTTGACTACATGTTATGCTAGGGCCGCTAGGCCGTGTTGTTGTGTGGTATGCTATGTGGTGCGATGCTGTCCATCATTCATGCTCTTTCTTTTTTGTTTTTTTGACAATGATAGAAAGGTTAGGCACTAATAGGCAGGTTTGGACTACGAAAACACCTTGAAGTTCCACTTATTAAGTTATTATTGCATTGTATAATATAATATTATTATTATTATTATTATTATTATAAGTATTAATAACTTATTAATGTTTATTTAGTCTAATATCATTCATCTGTTAGCCTGATACACGGATGCTGCAACGCATAGTGACTGGTTCACAGGAATTTCAAAGTAATTGGTCGATTGATTGATCATTATCAGCATTCACAGGTCTGCACAGTGCAGTGCAACTCCTTCAAACGTAACACCCCAAGTACACCAAAATAAAAAATTATAAAATAACATTATTATTAATAATAACCAGTCACCAAAAGGTGGCAAGGCACCCATTGGTCACCGGCGTCAAATACCAACTGCTGTGGATGATAACGTCAACAATTTCTCAATGTAGTGCAACACAGCGCCGTAACATTTGCTGAAGCTGGAGTATGTTTACAGAACCACACTGAGTCACTGACTCCCCCTGAAAATAGAGAGGCAGTCCTGTTGCTGGGAAGTTGGAACACACACACTGTCACACACACACACACACACACACACACACACACACACACACA